GCTTCTAGATCACTGGGGGGCCTTGAAAACCTGCAGTGTCTGATTTAGTCCATTTAGAGAGACGCTGCTGCTGCTGGTCCCTGGACCACACTTGGAGTAGCAAGTCTTTGCCGCAGCACGGGACCCTCCTCACCCAGGAAGCCAGCCAGAACCGCCTGGCCTTTCTCCCTGACCCATTCCCTCTGCTCTTTTCTGCTGGCACCTCGGAAGGATGGTGTCTGTTTAAAGAAGGCGGCTCTCCTACCACCAACCCTGCTAACTCCTCCAGCACAGCTTTCTCTGTCAGGCCGACGCTTTTAGAATGAGCCACACACTCTGTTGTCACTTCTACATCACTTATCCTAAAATCTGGGTCCTGCCTTCCACCACCTGATGGAAACAGCTCTCTCAAAGTTCACCAGTGGGGGCTGGCTGGGTGGCTCAGTTGGTTAGAGCGCAAGCCCTGAGCAACAGGGTTGCCGGTTCGAGGCAACTGGACTTAGAGCTGAGCTAGACCCTCCACAACTAAGACTGAAGGACAACAACTTAACTTGGAGCTGATGGAGCCTGGAAAAACACAATGTTCCCCTTTCCCAATTCCCTAATAAATCTTAAAAAAAAAAAAAAGCTCACTAATGAAGGTTTCTTCTGGGGTTGTTGAGAATGTTTTTGGGGTTAGATAGTGGTAATGACTGTACAACTTTGTGAATATACTAAAAACCACTGAATTATACACTTTCAAAGGGTAAATTTTATGTTATGTGAATTACGTTTCAATAAAGCTGATACACAGAATCACCAGAGAAGGCCTGCGCTGTCAGACCCGCGCCACAGCCACAGCCGTGCTCTGAGTCTCCTCACTGCAATAGGTGAGTTTATCGTTGCTGCTAAACAAACACCTTTTGGAATGTATGGAGGTCTTCTGAAAGACTTCACAACTACCGACTTGGCTGAATTTGCTGCCAGAGCTGCCTTGTCTGCTGGCAAAGTATTGCCTGAGATTATTGACAGTGTCATTGTAGGCATTGTCTTACAGACTTCTTCAGATGCTCTGTACTTGGCAAGGCATGTTGGTTTGCGTGTGGGAGTCCCAAAAGAGACCCCAGCTCTCACCATTAATAGGCTCTGTGGCTCTGGTTTCCAGTCCATTGTGAATGGATGTCAGGATATCTGTGTTAAAGATGCTGAAGTTGCCTTGTGTGGAGGAACCAAAAACATGAGCTAGGCTCCCTACGGTGTCAGAAACATGTGTTTTGGAACCAAGCTTGGATCAGATATCAAGATGGAAGATTCTTTGCGGTCGGTATTAACAAATCAGCGTGTCAAACTCCCCATGGCGATTACTGCAGAGAGTCTTGCTGAGAAACTTTAAATAAGCAGAGAAGACTGTGACAAATACGCCCTGCAGTCACAGCAGAGGTGGAAAGCTGCTAATGATGCTGGCTACTTTAATAACAAGATGGTACCAATTGAGGTGAAGACAAAGAAAAGGAAAACAGACAGTGCAAGTAGATGCGCATCCTCGGCCCCAAACAACCATGGAACAAAACTCGCTCCAGTATTCAAGAAAGACGGAACTGTTACTGCAGGGAACACATCGGGAGTAGCTGATCGTGCTGGAGCTGTTATCATAGCTAGTGAAGATGCTGTTAAAAAACATAACTTCAAACCACTGGCAAGAGTCATGGGCTATTTTGTGTCCGGATGTGATCCCTGTTATGGGTATTGGTCCTGTCTTTGCTATCAATGGGGCACTGAAGAAAACAGGATTGAGTCTTAAGGACATGGACTTGGTAGAGGTGAATGAAGCCTTTGCTCCCCAGTACTTGGCTGTGGAGAAGAGTTTGGATCTTGACCCAAGTAAAACCAATGTGAATGGAGGAGCCATTGCTTTGGGTCACCCATTGGGAGGATCTGGGTCAAGAATTACTGCACACCTGGTCCACGAATTAAGATTTCAGCCACTGCTTTTGTCCCCAGGCGTCGAGGTGGAAAGTACGCAGTTGAATCTGCCTGCACTGGGGGTGGCCAAGGGATCACAGTCATCACTGAGAACACAGCCTGAGGCGAGCAGAGCCCACTGTGACCCACTTTCACTTTCCTTGGCCAGGCTACAGTGACCCAGGTGACCTTCAGGGCAGCTGCAAAACCAGCCATGGCCTGCCCCCAAAAGTGACTGAGGCAAAAAGATACATTTCTCATGCCAGAGCAAGTTCTCTCTGCACCAAATATGATGTATTTCTGAACTAAAATCCCACTACAAAAGGACTTAAAAGGAATTGTATCCTTGCCAAGTAACCACCACTTATGCCTTAGATAATATGATTGCAAGGAAATTGAATAAATACTGTCTTAAGCTAAAAATAAATAAATAAATAAAAATAAAGCTGATATACAGAAAAGATTACCAACAACCTAAACATACGATTCCATGGCTGCTTTCTAGGCCTCGCTCTGTGGTCCTCTCTGCAGCAGCTGGCATGGCTGACCATCCCTCAGTACAGCCCCCTCTGGCCTCCACGGCCCCATTGTCTCTGGGCTCCTCCTGCACGTAGGAGGTCTCCAGGCTCTGTCCTCAGCCCCCTTCTCTTCTCCCTTTTTTGATATGTCCATCTAGAGATAATGTCAACGAGCACGTCCACTTTAATATATCCCCAACTGAGAGTCCCAGCCCTGACTTTCTCCTAACCTCATCACCAACGACATCTTGGTCATCTCCACCTGGATGGTCTATCATCTTCTCCAATTTATCCCGTCTAAGATCAAGCTTGTGGCCTTTCTCCCCAGACCCGATCCTCTTCCTGACTTCCTAGTTCTAAATGCAATATCTGCAAATGTTGGTTGCTAGGTGCTGGGAGCTGCTTTGAATCTAGAAGCCACCCCAGCTCCAGCCTCCTCCTGGCCTGACAGACTGAGCTGAGGGGCCCTTGGATTTCCACGAGATTCCGGCTGCCTTATGGCCTCGTATCCATCTTCACAACTGTGCAGAAAAGTGTTAACACAGCAGTCCTGACTGCTGTCCTTGAAGAGTCCTGCTTGCAAGGTTGGTCCTCGGCTGGCACCTGGGAATGTGGATTTCAGAAGGGTTCTCACCTCTAACTGGTTAAGAGTGGCTCACTGTGCTTAAACCATTTGTATAAACAATATGGTGTACACAGCACACCTGATTTCCTTTTGGGAGTCTGGAATTTGGATATGCCAGACAGGGGTGCCTATGTGATCAGCCCCCAATAGAAACGCTGGGCACTGAGTCTCTAATGAGCTTGCCTGGTAGGCAACACTTCACGCGTGTTGGCACAACTCCTCGCTGGAGGATTAAGCACGTCTTGTGTGGCTCCCTGAGAGAGGACTCAGGGGAGCTTGTGTCTGGCTCTCCCGGACTTGGCCCCATGCTCCTTTTCCCTTTGTGTGCTTTTGCTGTGATAAATCACCGCTGTGAGGTCTGTGAGTGCCGCAAGGGAATTACCACGCCTGAGAGAGGTCGTGGGCACAATTTCCCTACCCTTGCTTCCGCTGCCCCACAACTGCAGATTCCTAGAAAGAGGGTCTTAGGGGGCACCTCACCCAAGCTCCTACCCAACCTGGAACCTTTCAGGCAACATGCTGGCAGCTCTGCAGGACCCCTCCAGGGACAGGGAGCTCACCTTGTGAGACGACAGCACAGCCTCGTAAGGGGTCCCTCCTTTCTGTTGAACGCCCTTACTTTCCCTGAGGACATCAGAGTAAGGGGAGGAGAGTGGTTTAACTGGACAGAGAGGCCAAAGACTGACAACAGCACCAGGTTGGTGAGCCTGTCTGGGCAAAATCCTGGCTCCCCGATTGTGCTGGGAAACCTCGAGCACCTGAACCTCTCTGTACCTCAATTCCTGCCATACGATGGAAATAAGGGGATCTCTCCAAAGGTTGGGGAGGATGAAACAAAACAATGCAAGTCAAGCAGTGGCTGCTGCAGAGAACAAGTCAGTATGCATTCGCGTAATTTTTATTGCTAATCCGACTACAGCTACGTGCTCAGGTTCACACTCTGACAATATGAATGGTTTTCACCACATTTAAGAAAAAAAGTCTCCTCATTCTTCTCTCCCTGCTCCCCAAAGAGTCCTAAATGTTACTAAAGGGTTTCATTAGCTGGATGTTGTCTGCCCTCTGTCAGAGCTTTGCTACATCCCTGGGGTGCCCCATGAAAAGAGGCAGATGCCTGGGGTGCCCCAGCTGGAGGGAATACCAACAGAACCTAAGAGTGTGTTCTCCGGTTTCACAGTCCTGAGTCGGAATCCTGGGTCAGCCAACAAAGGCTGGTCACCCATCCCAGTCCTCCCACTGCTGCCATGAGGAATGCCTGTCTGTGTCTTCTCACACGCTGGTACCTCTGCCTAAAACAGGAGTCCTCCCCTTTACCAGCCTAAAACACGCATCCTTCGAATTTCAGCTTAAATGCCACTTACCGACCCTCTCAGGGCTGGACTGGGTACCCTCCCCCTGCTGCTTGTATTCCCTGTCACAGTACCCGATCCACTGCGGTTCAGGTAACCGTGTTGCCTGAATTTCCATTAGACTGCACGGCGGAGGCTGTGCCTGCCTCCATGCCATGTGCCCACTGTTGATTTAGCACAGTGCCTGGCACACAGTCCTCCACGTGTCTGCTGAGCGCAATAAGAAAGCTGGCCTTGGGTGACTTGCCTCATCTGATGAGGATGTAGTGTGCCCTTCAGCTGTTTGTTGTGAGGATTAAATAAAAAGGATAAAGAGCTTAGCATGGTGCTTGACATAGCAGACACTCAGTACCTGGCATCTACTATTAGAATATAAAATCCTACCCCCCACACACCCATTATGTTGTGCTAACTCTAACCATGGTTCGTAAGTATTAACATTTCAGTCATTTTGATGGCTAGCTTGGGGGTACATGAGAAAGAATCTGGCCTGAGGATTTCAGTACTAAAGCCTTTCCCTGCCCCAGCTAGGTGGTGTCTGGGTGTGACCGGGGCAAAGGAGGCAGAGGTCCATAAGCGGTACCTTACCTTTGATCAGTCTTCTTCTCTGCATCATTAATTCTTGTCTCTGGAATCTCTCTGGATCCAGTTTCGAGTAGTCCCAGCTGTTATAACTCTGTGGGCAAGGATATATACCTAAGAGGGAGTCAAGAGTGACAAGTAAAGACAGAGGCCTCTGAGATGCCCCCTGCTGGTCCTTGGGAGATTGGGCTTCCAGCAAGCATTATCCCCACCTCACACTGGCCTTGAGGTCCTAGGTGTCACTTCCTTTCTAGGGGGCTTTGGTTTCTTCATCTGGAAAATGGAGACGGTGATGCCCACCCTGCCCATGTGACAGTGTGGGTGTGAGGACCAGACCACATGTGAGGATGTGAAGGCACTGCCATTGTTTTCATGTCTATTTCCTCTGCTTTTACTGGACTAGAAGCTTGCTGAGGGTAGGTTTTATTTATCTTTGTGTCCCTCCTCGGTTCAGTATTGGACCTGGCACATAATAAATAGGTACTTAGTAAATTTTGTTCAACATATTATCACACTTAGCTAAGTACCAAGAATGAGTTCACTCTAAATATTTCATGGTGATGTTTACGGGGCTGTGCTCCAACCTGCTCTCTGCAGATGCAGCTGGGTACAAAAAGGGGACAAGGAGTGTCTGAGAACTGTTTTGAGGAAGCAGGAAAATTGGTGCTCTTTGGGGCACCAAAAAAAAAAAAAGTAAAGCTTTAACCGCTTTACTTTCTTTTCTTTTCTTTTTTTGGTCATAAATAAGCGTTTATTATCAGAGCACCGGTGGTCTGAGAAGGCAGCAGGTTAACACCTCCAAAAACTGCTTAACATTCTCAGACCATCTTGGGGTTTTTAAGGGAATATCTGGGTGTTCCTCCAGAGGCTACATGATGGTTCTGGGGGTCTGCATGGAGCTCTCTCTGTGGCCACGCTTTACTTTCTTTAATGTTAAGGAGAGAAAAGGACGACTGCTTCAGTGAAGGGGTGTGATGGCAAACAATCACACACACAGGCTCAGGTGGAAAGGTTTTTTCCAGAACTGCTTTCCCCAGGAGAAAGAAGCACCTCCTACCTGAAATCCACAGGCTCACTGTGTTACAGATGTCAGACTTGAATTCGTGTGTGTTGAACCAGGACTGTGGGAAGCAGCAACAGAAGCTGGTGTACAGGGCTTTACTCAGAAGTGATGGCAACCTCTGGGGGACAAGCAGAACTCAGGCAACATTCAGGGCATTTCTACACCCGGAAAAGAGCCCCTGATGTCAGAAAGGACCTGTGATAAAATTCTCTGACACCATACTGCCTTCTTGTTTATTAGGGGAGCAATTTCCATCTGCAGCTGCCCCACAGCTCGGTGGACTCCTCATTCTACCTGGGACCACTCCTCAGGCATCATGCTACGATTGACCAGCAACCCCTCCCCCAGCAACTCTGTACGCGGTCTGTGGTGCAGCCCCTTCTGCAACCTGGCCAAACAGTAGTCCCAAAGACGACAAGATGCATTTGACCTACCCATCTTGCCGTCTCCCAGGGATAATACTAGTAAGTACTATTTACTAGGGTTTTTTCTGTGCACAGGTGGTATTGTTTCTTAACTATGGTTGAGCTCAAATTATACATTGAGGGCTGGCTGAGTGGCGTGTTGGTTAAGAGCTGGCTTGGGACACCAATTCTGAGCAGCAGTGCCCCGGTTCAGATCCCACATGTGGGCCAGTGACACTGCTCTCTACAGCTAAGATGGTGAACAACAGCTCGACCTGGAGCTGGGCTCCTGTGAGTCGCCGGCCTAGGCTGCAGCCCCTGCTGCAGTGGGCTGCCATAAGCTACCGTGTGTGGCCGGCAGCCAGCGTGAGCAGCCCAGCAGCTGGTGTGAGCTGCCAAGAGCCGCCGTGAGCAGCTATCCAGAGACCGGTGACGGATCTTCCTCACCCAGGAAGAGCTCAATGATCATAATACCAACATAGGCCAGTGAAGCGACATCCTCCACAACTAGACTGAAGAACAAAAGGACAGCAACTTTCTGTCCCCTTTCCCTGACTCCCCAACGCTGTTCTCCTCTCCTAATTCCCCAATTTAAAAAAATTAATAAAAAAAATTATACATTTATATCTGGCTTTCTGCATTTAAATGATAACATCAGCACTTCCCCCAAGTTTTTATAAACACTTGGGGATTTTTCTTCCAATAGTGACCTTCATAATATTGTGCTGAGTAGGCACATCGAAATTTACTTAAACACCCTCTATTGGTGGATATTGTCTTGTTTCCAAGACTTTGCATTAAAAATTATGCTGAATAATTATTTTTATTTATTAGGCTATCTCATTGTCTGGCACATGGTAGGCAGTCAAAATTGTTGAATGGATGAATGCACACGTGGATCAAAGCAGCTTTTCCTGTATATTAGATTATGTCTTCCAGAAGATGGTATTATACCACTAATTACAGCAGCTGTGATGTGTTTTGAGGACTATCATGTGCTGGGCAGTATGTCAGATGCCTTACAAACATCATCTCATTTAGTCCTTAAGACAACTCATTGAGGGAGGTATTATTATCCCCATTTCATGGGCGATGAAGCTGAGGCACAGGAAGCCTAAGTGACTTGTTAAGCGGTCACATAAGTGCCTTTCAGCACAATTGTATCAACTCACTTCCCACTGACACTGTCAGAGTGCCATTTCCCTATATCTTCAACGACCCTGGGAATTATACTTTTTCTCTGTGTTCTCTGACAGGTAAAAGGGGATATCGAATTATTATTGTTTTAATTCATATTTTTTATTACTGTTAAAGGATGAACTTTTTCTTATTTGTATTTCTTCCCTGGTGAATTTCTAGTTTATATACGTTGTCCATTGGTCTATGGGGTGTTTCATTTCTTTGTTATTGATTTATAAGAGGTTCTTTATGTTGTGTGACATATGTGTATATAGTACTGGTATTCTGCATAGTTTCTCATTTGCCTTTTAACTTTGTTTGTAGTAATTTTTTTTTTTGGTTGCCAAATGCTCTTTAATTGAAATATTTTCCTTTGTAGTTCTTAACTAGCTGGGCATTCCACTGCACCACTGTTGATGTCATCTATGAT